GTAGCCTGGTTTTATTTAAATGATTTCAAAAATTACATCCATTTTTTTAGTGGCTATTCGACTCGAGCGAGGTGCATCTTCACTGCTCACTAACAAAATCCTCACCTTAAACCTTGAACTATAAGGTTTGTAGTAATAAAGCAACAGAAAGCGTATTTTTATTGACTTTTAAATTAATTCAACTTTTCATACGAGCGACAGATACTATAATGGACTTTCCAAAAAATATAGCCTGGGATGTCACCTTTCAAATACGTGTTCGTTTTACATAAACGGATTAGTTTTGCAAGATATGTGGGTACCAATACTATTGACAAGTTAGCAAGATCCACACAATTCCTTCTGATGTTGGCTGGGCACCGTCCTAATAACGTACGGAACTTAAATTCTGTGTGATCCATTTCTAGTTCTATAAAATGGTTAGAGTTGTTTTATTATATTATATATATTACATTTTTTCATTATATTTGTTCAATATTAAATTGTAACGAATAATAAGTATTATGTATTAGTTATGTATTAGTCAATGTATTAGTTGAATTGTGTGCATGTTCCTAGAAACGTGTATAGCAGTTTACATATATTTTAATATATATAAATTTATAATTCAATATATTTTTATGAAATATAAATATGTTTTCCCAACTAATTTTATCAAACAATTTAAAATATTTCTTGTAAATTTAATAAAGGAAGGAAAGATATATTAAGCTTAAATATTCGTTTTTTATTTGAGTTAACCACACACACATATTTACTCTATTTAATTTCAAATAGAACGGCAATAATGTTTTTGAGTGAAAGCACATTTTCGTACTCAGTAAGAGATCAGAATTTGAAGACAATTGAGCAAATTAAAAACATCGCAACCTGTCACTCTAATCGAAAAGCTTTTAAGCTTCGCGGCTAAACTTTCTAAGAGCTTTTTATTTGAGATCACAGATTATTCAAATTTTTTGGTGATATACGCATATGCAATAAATAATTAATTGTAATTAATGAATATTAATATTTAATTAAAAATTATTTTATCAAATTAAATAATTTTGGTAAAATACTAACAAAATAATATAACTAATATTTCTTTCTACTATTACACTTTTATTATTTTTTACCGAATTTCAGAAAAATTGCGTTATTGGCAAATACTGAAAAAATTAATTTTGTTTTATAAAATTGAATGATAAATCAAAATTAAGTAAATATTTTGTATGGTTTATTATTTAAAATTTTATGCAACTTGAATTAATTCTTTAAAAATTCGTAAATTGAAGGCTTCGGGATAATTTCAGTTTTAAATAAAATTTCATGTTAAATCTAAATCAAAAATAAGAAACAAAAAATTTCAATGTTTTTTTTCAATTTTATTTTGTAAATGTAACGGTTTGTATTTTATATAATTTTTTTATTTAATCAAGATTCATTTAATTATTCATTTAATTCATTTTCGTTTGATTATCCATTTAATTTATTTTCGTGTAATTTAAAAATTTATTTAAAATTTGGTCTAAAATGTAAATTCTTAAACCCTATGGGTCCCTATCTCCTAGGAAAAAATTAACGAAGATTTTTATATACAAAAGGAGTCATAAAAAATTTCAAACAAATCAGAGGCAATGAATTTAAATTCTGTCAAAACTCGTTCCTTTACTTAATGCATCTATATTGTGTGCATAGTAAATCTTTTTACATTTTAATCGTGAATACTATAAAGAGTCTTTCAAAGTGTGATTTTAGAATAATTCAATACATATCTGTTTTTTTACATCAAATTTAATAAATAACTCTTTCATATCATATGATATGTCATATATATCATATCTCTTTTTAAATTTCTACTACAGATTAAATTTTGATTTCTATTGTAGCCATGTTAGTACATCCCATCATTCTATCCTATCATATTTTGAATATTTGATTCCCTGTTCTTGATAGAACCTATTTTTTCCCTGATTTGATTTTCAATCAATGTGGTTAGCATCTTACGCCTCAAAACAAGCTTTATTTTTGACAGCAACCAGCTCAATTTTTCATTTTTTCGACTCTTCGCTTAGATTCCACACGTGTGTTATTTCATATAAAATATACCTAAGTTCATATGCAGAATGGGATATATATTTCATAAATGTTTTTTGCCGTAGTTTACTATCAGATATATTTTTCTGTGAATAATACCGAAGACGCCTTCCTGCTTATTTCTCATATTGTTGAAAGATGAGCCGTTTTGTCTAGAGCTTATGTACTTTATGTTCTGAATCTCGGCAAACTGTCAACTACTTTCTTAATATTTTATAAGTCCCTGTTTCTGGCAGTCAAGTGATATTGCATTTGATACTTGCACACAGTCCTCTTGATGACAATGAAATTATTGATGCATTTGCTAAGAAAGCCAAAAACACTTTAAAATCCTAGCTAAGTTAACTGAAATTCACTGGTAAAGTCAATTACAGATAATCCCTCAGGAAAAGATACCGTCGTACTAAATACTTCTTCCTGAAATCCCCGAACAAACAAATAAATACGTACTAAATCTGAACAGATTGTATTTAAAAACAATCTGTGGAGTGATAACTGTTCTCGCTTTTTAAACAAGTACGAGGACTGCTATATATATTTCATCAAGAATTGTTTTAATGTTTTTCAAGGTATTCTCCAGCCTGATTTATATACTTTTGCAGGCACTTAAACGAATTGTCGAAGCATTTTTTTTACTCCGATTGAGACACCTCCAAAACATGGTTTTTGAACGCTTAAACAACATCTTCTGGCGACGAAAATCGTTAACCACGCATTTTTTTCTTGATGTGCGGGAATAAAAAAAGTCGTTAGGTGTCAAGTCAGGACTGCACGGTGGATGACCTATCAATTCGACATTTTGGCCGGTCAAAAAGGCGCTGGTTTAAGCCGATGTGTGAGAGCTCGCGTTGTCATGGTGAACAATGATTCGTCTTCTCCTGTTTGTTTTTCGAATTTCTCCAAAGATTTCAGGCAAACAAATTATGGTGTGCCACTCAGAAGTGACCGTTCTTCGTTGCTCAAGCGGACCAGTTTTGCCGAAGAAAGAGGCGACCCTTTGCTTCGAAGTGCTTCATCCACGAACAATTTTCGTTGGATTTGGCTCGTCTTCGAAGATCCAGACGGTCGATTGTTGATTTGTTTCGGGCTCATACGCGTAGATCTGTGATGATCTCATAAACATCTTTGGAAGCACCGCGAACGTATTTTTTCAACATTTCTTTGCAGCAATCGACAAGAGCCTTTTTTTGGGTGATTGTCAAATTGTGTGGGACCCAATGAGAACAAACCTTTTTTACGGCCAGGTGTTCATGCAATATCAAATGTATGCTGGTGGAAGAAATTCCCAAGGATGCCTCTATCACTCTATGTCACATGACGATCTTGCATTATCAGTTCATGCACGAGCGAGTGTCGGCCAGGATTGAATTCATTAAAGCAGTTTTTCAGTGTTAGTCTACGTCGAAACTTGTGAAAAATGATCACACGAAAATGTTCACGGGTTAATTCCATTTTTTGGCCGAGATGAATTTTTCAAGTCTCTGTAAATATGGATGATTAATTTTGCATAAAGAGGTGATCAATGAGTCAGAGTGGTCACACATCAACCAGAAAAAGATTGAATTTTCTGTATCCAGCGGTGGTTAAAGTATCTTTCAGTAACTCTGTACTGGGTTTCTGCGAATGGCAATCACAATTTTCTCAAGATCACGATCTTCTGAATTTACTTCATGCTATTGAAATATATTTGTTAGTTCAGGAAAATGTCAGATACTTTGCACTGTTTTTAAAATAGACTTACGTTGCCAGTGTCATGAACATTAAAGTGCGAACCTATATATCTATACAAATTACTATAATAATAATAAGAAGTAAATGAGGAAGACTAGAAATTTTTAGTAGATTTTTTATTTATAATATTTCCTTAATAAGACTATTTCGTTTTCAATCATTTCCTTGAATTACAATTACAATTACAATGGATTTCAACTTATATTCTGCATTTTCAGTTTCTGAATTTTATACAATTTTGGTTTTATATTTTATCAAATTATTTACACAATACAATAAATCTCATAATTTTATTTCGTTTGCTTAATCAAATGTTCCTGCGTGGTTTTGTGAGGACTTCATAGCCAAATGCAACAGATATCGATGAATGCGTCTTATATGGCAAATAGCAGCAAAATTCTAGCAGATTTGCACTATACATACGACTATAATGTATGTATATATATGTATGTATGTGATAGCTATGAGGTTGCAAATGTGATTATTGTTTTATCCTTTTCGGCTTCCTTACATCCGGTTGGTATGCAAAAGCTTTCTGTGATCATCCGAAGCAGTTTTAACTTAAAATTTTATTTATGAAAGGATTTGTTTGATATCAGTGTATTTTCTTCTATTTATTGTTATTATTATTTTAATTATGCAAATCTCAACTGTTTCGTTTTTTGCCCGAAAATTTATTTCTCTTCAGTTGATATTTTGGGTTAATTTCGTCTTTTGGCTCTTAAAAACTATTGTCAATTTTTTTTAAATAATTTTAATTTCTTTTTATATGCAAACAATTTTTGGTTTGTTTTTCGCTTCAAATTAGCTTAACTACACAAATAGAAAGTACACGTATGTATGTATATAAGTATATATATATAATCATTTATTAAATAAGTACATCTATATATATTTATATTAAGTTCATTATTGTATATTTAAATCTGCTTATATTTGCTTATGTATAACAATAGTATTGTTTAAATGTGTATACATTCATTTCCTTTAAAAATTATTGTATTTCATATATAGTTTGATTTTTCTATAATAGCGCTTTTACATAGTTTGGAGTTGAATCGAAAAATGTCTGCTTATAAGCCTAAGTTTAGTGGGAGTTGACCTTTGAAACACTTCAGCTTAACTTTGCTCATTTTTGAGAATTTTTTCAATCAACTTTGAAAATATAAATTTTTATTCAACAATAGATACAAAGTTTTAGGTAATTTATTTTAAAAATAATTTTTAGTCAAATAGCATTTACAATACAATTTATACAGGAGCTTTACCAAGCCGTTGGGAGCGGGTTTTGAAAACATTGAAGTTAGAGGGTTGAGTGCGCCTAGTGCATTGACTCTTTTAATGCGTGATGATCATACTGAAATAGAGAACATAATTTTTCTTATTAATTTTAAATAAATTCTAATATAAATTTTGAATTTTTTTATAAAAATATGTAATTTTATAAACAAATGCTAGCGAGAGTTTCATCAAATATAATACCCTAGCACATTTTTGAATAAAATTCACTATTTACAGTCACCAACACACAGAACATTTATACTGAAGTAACGTTAATACACAGACCATTAATACTGCTAACTCTACCTAAGACCGATGCTGATATTCCCGCCTATCGGTGACTAGAAAACTAAAAGATGCACCATGACATAGAAGACAAAAAAATCTAGTTGAAAATCAGTATTTATTTAGCACGTACGCCGTAATAAAATATGTACTATGAGAAATGTATATAAGCCCAAGAAGAAAATTAAATAAATCAGTACTATATAGCTACATACCCTTGATAACATCAACTTATATCAGAACAGTCTTCACTCAAATCGGAATATCGTTTAACGACTATCGTTCCAGGAATATCCCAGTTTCAAACTTTTTATAGACTTGTAGCTGTTCATATTCTAAATAATCACAGTAAACTGGATTATTATTTAAGTATATTGACAACATTAAAACTTGTAAAATAGAAAAAAGAAAATTAGATTCGAAGAAGAAGTTTCAGTTTTCTGAAAAAGAAAATAAGTAGACTCAATAAATAATTTTGAAATTTAAATATAGTCTCTGTGTTTTCAAATACGTTCAAATACAGAAACCCGCTATATATTGGTGACCCCGACGTGATTTGAAAACGCAACACAAGCATGCCGGTGACACATTCAGATGAGGAATCTGGATCCAGGTCATCACAATAAATTTTTCTGTGAATTAAGCAGCACAACTTACACCCACTTTGATACGGCGCGGCCGCCAACGAGGCATGAGGCCAGCCTACAGATCAAAGTTACTTTCTAAAGCTGACGACTTCCTCAAATCTCATCAACGCTCTCCACTCTCAATCACTTTGACACGGCGCGGCCGCCAACGAGGCATTCGGCCAGCCTGCACGTCAAAGTTTTTTAAATCCTGCCAGCAAACGACTGATGAAGAAGTTAAAAAGCTTCTCAACGGAGACTCCAGCTTGCAAATCAAGTCCTTTACCTTACCAAACTCTGATGTATCAGTGTATTGTGACATTTCTACCGGGAACGTTCGTCCGGTCTTGACGAAGCATTTTCGCAAAATCGCTTTTGACTCGATCCACAACCTTTGTCACTCAAATGGTAAAAGAACTCACAAATTATTAGCAGAAAAGTTCATTTGGCCTAATATGAAGAAAGATTGTGCTATTTGGGCCAAATCCTGCATTGCTTGTCAAAAAAGCAAAATTCACCGCCACAACAAGGTACCTATTCAGCAGTATCTACCTGCTTCGTCTCGTTTCGACCACGTCAACATGGACATTGTCGGACCACTACCATGCTGTAGAGGTTTTCGTTACTGTTTGACAATGATCGATCGTTTCTCACGCTGGTCTGAGGTTTGTCCATTGCAGGATATTTCTGCTGAAAATGTAGCTTTCGCATTCTATTCCACCTGGATTGCAAGATTTGGCGTTCCATTACGTGTAACCACAGATCAGGGACGACAATTTGAATGCTATTTGTTTAAAGAGCTGTCTAAGCTTCTTGGTATTCAGCACTTACGTACCACAGCTTATCACCCTGCTTCTAATGGAATTATTGAAAGATTTCACAGGTCTTTGAAAGCAGCCATTAAGTGTTATCAAAATGACAACTGGGTTGAAATATTACCTCTCATCCTTCTAGGATTTAGAGTTGTAGTGAAAGAAGATATTAACGCATGTCCTTCACAACTGGTTTATGGCGTTGGCTTACGTTTACCTGGGGAATTCATTTCAGAAGTTAATCGCGACGTCTCAAACCCTCAGGCAGAATTTGTAGCTAAACTAAAAAGATTTATGAACGACTTAAGACCTACTCAAACTGCTCATCATTCTAGTGGAAAGGTTTTTATTGAAAAAGATCTTTATTCCTCGGATCAGGTTTTCGTCAGAAATTCCATGATTTGTAAACCATTGCAGGCTCCATACGAAGGTCCATTCACTGTTCTTAAGCGTTTCGATAAATATTTTGTCGTGGATGTTAAGGGAAGGAAAGTGAATATCTCGGTGGATCGCCTCAAAGCAGCCTTCAGTGAACAATATTTTAAGGAACAAGAAGTTAAGCCTTTAGTCACTGACAAGAACGATCATAAGACATACACTTCGCGTTATGGTCGCAAGGTTTTTTTTCGGAAGGGGGAATAATGTAGCTGTTCATATTCTAAATAATCACAGTAAACTGGATTATTATTTAAGTATATTGACAACATTAAAACTTGTAAAATAGAAAAAAGAAAATTAGATTCGAAGAAGAAGTTTCAGTTTTCTGAAAAAGAAAATAAGTAGACTCAATAAATAATTTTGAAATTTAAATATAGTCTCTGTATTTCAATTACGTTAACGTACAGAAACCCGCTATAGACTGTTTATTCTCCTCAAAAAGAAAATTAAAATAATAATATAATTCTATCTAATGATAAAACAACAGTAATATCACCCCAAATTATTGCTGGAATAAAGCAGTTAAAATATTAAAAATATTATTTTTAATATTTATTGGTTTAGATAGCCAAACCTAGTTATGCAGGTTTTTGAAACCTTTATAGTCAAATCAATCAATATTCCTCTAATATGTAAAGAATAATAGAATTAAAATATTTTTTATCTAAGTATATACAATTTTCAGCAGCCCTTCTACGTGAATAAGAGATATTAGGGATAAAAGACGAAAACGACAATATTTGTGTTATATCAGAGCACTTAACATAAGTTGATTATTGATCACTTCATTAAAAAGTGAAATCACAGGAATTAACGAATATCAGTGTTAACTAAAAGCAATCATATTCAGTTAAAATTGTAAGTCCCGACCATATAATTAAAGACTGATTCATTGATACTAGACAAAATCTTGAGATGCTAATCGGGGAAACCAACCTTTCTTCTACGGTAATGCATGTTTAGTCTCTACAACTGCATAATTTTTGGAACCTTAGTAAATGGGCCTCAAAGTGTGATGTAGGTGTTAATCCCTTTAAGACTGAACTGTTACTGTTTACCAACAAATATAAAATTCCAGATTTTCCGCTGCCAAGATTAAATCGTCAAAGATTAACGGAATTGCTTACAACTCTAGAAAAGATAACGATTTACACCGACGGGTCTAAAATGGATGAGGGCGTTGGAGCCGGAATCTTTTCTACGGACCTAATGATCAGTAAATCATACCATCTTTCAGATTCCACCTCAATATTTCAGGCTGAAGTTTTTGCCATCCTTAGGGCAAGTGTTCTTGCTTAAAATATGGGCCTTCACGGAAAAGAGGTCTACATTCTAACTGACAGTCAGGCAGCTATTAAAGCTTTATCAGCAGTCTGTTTGTCATCGAGATTAGTAGAAGAATGTAAGAAATTTATCAGTAAACTAAGTGAGAAGTCCAAGGTTACTCTAGTCTGGGTTCCCGGGCATTCTAATATTGTAGAAAATGAGCGCGCTGACAAACTTGCTAAACTAGGCGCTTCTTCCACGAATACTCCTATTTCGATCCCTGCCCCTGTCAGCTACGGGCGTAGGCTGATTTATGATCATTTTTTGCGACAGGCAAATAGGAAGTGGACCCTTACTGCCTCAGCAGCCAAGGGCTACTTGGCTATTTATTCCAAATATAGAACCTCTGACTTAATTCGTAGAAACAAATCTGAGGTGTCTAGGCTAATATCTGTGTTTACGGGACACTGGTCCATAGAAAGACATGTAGCTAGAGTCGGCCTTCCCTGTGGTAGCTCTTGCAGTGCGTGTCTACCAGCTCTTGAAGATATGACACCAGAACACTTGATGTGTTTTTGTCCAGGTCAGGCCAGAACCAGGTTTAAGCTTCTGGGGGCCCCTTCTTCAACTCACTTAGCAATATCTCCAGCATTAGCATCAACCAGATTCTTACCTTTGTTAATGCCACTGGCTGGTTCTAGGTTGACCCTCTATCTACTACTATTACGAGGTTTTTAGTGGATTAAAAACGGCTTTCTCCTTTAGCTAATTGGGGAGGTTTCGTCCTCCCTCCACCACAACTAACTAACAACTGCATAATCTTTAGAATAATGAAAATTGTTAAAGCGGACGAAATAGGTATTATGTACGCAATCGGAGTAAAACACGCTATGTGCTCTTCTAATCTGCCTTGTAAACGAATAACTTCACTGGTTGTACTACAGGAATCTCCAGGATTCTGAGATGAGAATGTGGGTAGTTTTAATTCAGTAGGCATGTATGACTCAATGAGTCGTGCATGAACTGGATATGCAAATAGCATGGGCCATTTGTGTCTATAGAAGATTTTTCCCCCACGTTTAATACCAAAAAAGAGAAAAAATAAACAATCGTGTTAGTTAACTTAGGTAGTGGATGTAGGAACACGTTAGCAATACAGAATGATCTCTTTGTAATAATATTATTTAAAATTTGTGTCAACTATATCACATTTTGTAAGAGATAGTGCAAAAGTATTTACCATATTCATTGAAAATAAAAAGAAACATTCTCTTCAACTTTCGGACAATTTATTGCCCACTTCATTCTTCCAGATATTTTATTTTAAATTCGCTGAGTAAGAGTAGCGTATCATTGTTTTTCACTTACGCTTTCTGCAGTTTTTTTCAGTTACGTTTATTGTACCAACAAGGACCACAGTAGTGACCCATTAAACAATTTCCGAAACTCCATTTTATTTATTTTATGTAATCCAAAATATGTGAGAAGGAAAAAATAAACACGACGTTGGTTTAAATATTTTACAATTTTTACACGTGCAGGTGTTGCAGCAAAGATAATACAAATACCCCAGCTTTGGCTTAGTTGCCACTTGAGGAACGAGTGTGGCATGTTTCAGGCGAGTGTTCAGCACTCCCAGAAACTTCCTG